CGTAATTAAATTGGTTGTCGGATTTTGTGAGTTTCGTCAGGTTCCAGGGTACAGGTCCGGGTTTGATTTTTTGGTCGATTTTGGGAGTTTGATTAAAGATTCGACCTTTATCGACGGGGTTTGTTTCCTTTGGCATTATTTGATGTATTTTATTACTTTTGACTAGTTTCAAGCCGTTCGGATGGTCGTTACACGCGGGATTGCCTTTTTTGGAGCATCGTTTAGCTTCCTGTGTATTGGATTTGGCTTGTTCGAGGTGAGTAACTCTTCTAAACTTAGTGCTGAGGGTATGAAACCCGCAATACGTGTTATGTGATTTGTATTGAGGTGAGGCACATACTAGGTGACGGGCGTGTGGGCATGCACCATGTGAATTGGGACTCTGTTGCTTCCATGGCACTGTATAATGGCCCTAGTTTGTTGATATTTGTGTTTTCACCATGCGATAAAGTAATTGAGCTGTCAATCATGCTAAATATCATATTTAGGCTTCATGCTGATGTTGTTAGGACCCATAGTGGTCGTTTCTTGCTGTCATCTCACTGATTTCATTGATATTTCGTACTCAGTCATATTCATGCATTCATATCACATCTCAGTCTCAGTTGTTATTATTGATACAATATATCATTATTGTCGGGCTAGTTTCATGGCATTGTGAGCCTGTGAGTGAGACTGGAGAGAGTGATGACTGAGTGAGGCTGAGGGCCTGAGTGAGTGACATTTAGGGATCGGGCTGCACGCCACAACATATTATATTATACCTTATGGGATTCGGCTGGACGCCGAAGTAATATATTAATTATATTTTATAGGATCGGGTTGCACACCACAGCAGTATATTGATTATATTTTATGAGATCGGGCTGCACTTCCCAGCGATATATTGATTACATTTTATGGGATCCGGCTGCACGCCTCAGCGATATAGTGCTTGGGCTGAAGGAGCCCCTCCGGAGTCTGCACACCCCCAGTGAGCGTAGTCGTGTGTATATATATATATATATNTTGAGTGATTGAGTGTGCTGAGCATTGAGCATAGTGAGAGAGGATGTGAGACATTGAGATTGAGTACTCTGAGAGTGTGATTACATGATTCATCTATGAGATACATGGCATTTGCATGGACACATGGCATACAGGCATAGAGATGCATTTTTCCTCATGCTATATAGTATCACGTCATTCATGACTTTTTACACACATTGATATGTGGGCATAGAGAGGTATTTTGCACTTGTTATCTGGAAAGAAAATGAAGCATCTTATTTATTATGGAAAGAATATTTGAAAAAATTAGAGTTTTCAAACTTACTCGTATTTTTGGCGTTTTGGTATAAAATTTGGGTTTTCAGTGAGATACTTGAAAAGTATGCCCATTTTCTAGAACTGTGAACGAGATGAGCATGTTACTTCTGAGATATCCCTTTTATTACTTGTATTATGCTATTATGAACTATTGTAGAATACCGGTATTGGACCCGACCTTGTGATAGCTCGTCACTACTTTCAACCTAAGGTTAGGTTTGTTACTTACTCAGTACATGGGGTCGGTTATACTGATACTACACTTCTGCACATTGTGTGCAGATGTTGGCTGTTGTTGTTGTTGTTGTGTTCTATGGTTGCTGGATTTGAAGATGTACCTTCCCTGTTGTAGCTACCTCTTTTGTTCGGGGTAGCCTTAGATTATAAAACTCTGTTTATGTACTTTTCAAATAGAAGATGTACTTACTTCATATCAGTTTTGTAAATTCTATTCTTAAAAGCTCATGATTTGTACTACCAGTCCTTGAGATATGTATAGAATTCAGTAAATTACTTTCGTTTAATTGTCATGTTAGCATTATTGAAATTGGATAATTATTAGTTGGCTTAACTAGCAGGTTGGGTTAGGTAACATCACGACTAGTGGTTTTGGGGTCGTGACATATAACTAGCCGTTACTTCTGTTCCCACCGCTCGACCTCGACCCTAAAGGGTACTCAACGGCTCATTCTTGTCAACCGCTGATCACTTTCGACCGAGCCACCCATGATGAGTTACAGTCCTCACGCTTGATCACCTCTTCATGCCGAATTTCCTCAGTTGGATTTTGACCCATACAAAAGTATCGTTCTGTAATTTAACAACAAACATGAAATAAGAAGTCTATTTATAGCTAGACAATATCCCAGACGAATTAAATAATCGATACGATTGCATACAATTTTATTTAGAAATCAACTCAAATATAAAATTTCACCTCTACTCCAGACTAAAAATAATGCAACCTCAATAATTAACGAATTTGACTAACTCGAGAAACCGATTCTCTTCTACAAAGTAAAAAATCAATGCTCATAAATTTTTTAACAGATTTTAATTACTTGAAAATACGATTCCAACAACTGAAAAAAATAAGCTAAATAGAGGGGGGAAATTAAAAGTGTACCTCTCGGTGATAAGGCTATTAGAAAGAAAAGGGTATAAAGAAAGAAGAGAAAGAGAGATCGGAAAAGAGAAAAAAATCATATTTATCTGATATTACCATATAAGAAATACATCTACATATAAGAGACGAATTCTAGACTGATTTGGATACATAAAGAATTTTTAATGATATAAAACATTCTTCGGTGAATTAAATTTCTAAATATTAGGAGTTTTTACATTGTTCAAATTATAAGAAAAGACTGAATAGGCATAGTTAATTATTAATGTCATATTTCTTAAGTGTTTAAAAAAAATTAAATGATTATCTTGTCCGATTTGAATTTTATAAGACAAACGATATTTCGCTAAGGTATTCGTTGAAAATAAATCTTGAATGTTGAACATATCTTTAGTTTGTAACTTTTTCATTACTTTTTTCTAATTTGTACACTTTCATTACTAATCATATATACATGTGATACTAAATGATTACTGTAATCTCTCTTTCCTTCTCCTTTTTGGGTTCAAGCGTTCTTTCCTTCATGTAAAGGATAAATGAAAAGAAAATCACACAGAGATCATACTCATTTTTTTTAATCTCCAAAATGACCGATAAAAAAATTAAATTAGAATCCAACTATTTCGATATTAATCTATGGACACTAAATAAACCAAAGTTTGTACCCCCTCCAAAACAATTCAACAAATCAATAAGCCACAAGCCCACAACATAGACCCCAAGAGTCGAAGGTAAAACAAGAAAGACACACAAAAAAAGAAGTTAATTTCATTCACACTTACCATACAGATTGGCGGTAGAATTCAGCTAAAATTTTGAACTCAAATTTATTCGAAAAGAACCTGTGAGTGAAAACTCATAATATAGAAAATTCAGAGGAAGAGAACCAATAGAAGAATAGACATAAAAGAAAAAGGTCGGGGCCGAAAATACAAAGATACCCATATCAATATCAATCAAAATTGTAGTGATAATAGAGATTTATTGTTTTCTGATTTTTTGACACATCAGAAAAAACCATAGGTCTCATGAAAGACTAATAATTCTTGCTTGAGGCGATGTTTATAAAGCGGCTAACTCATACTATTAAACAAGAAGGAATACTGGCATAATTTATACTCCATTGAGATAGATACATACAAATTAATCTTTGAAAGAGAATTCATGTGATAGAGAAAATTAACTTATCAAGAAAAATATTCATGTGTTATGTGAAGTAGTTCATCTTGATTATCGTCAATGGAGAACTTGTTCGGTAAAACTTCTTATTGGGCATTCATATAAATTCATATGAATATGAATCTTCTCTCGAATTAGTACTAGATTAGGAGTTTGTTTTAGTGCCTTCCTTACGTGGGAGATTGGGTCAAAGCGAAAAATTTATAGTAGATCTCAAATACCTAAATATTAGTTACGCAAAAAATAAAAGTACTAATTGTGATTACATAAAAGTACTAATAAAAGTATATAAATTCTTTTTCCTTTTTAACCTACGCACTTACGAAAATAGAGACTCCTAAATTGACGTTTGTTGGCATACGGACAGACCTTAATGAGTTTAAAACCTACTTATTCTCCTCTTCCATTTCCTTTTTAAATCTCACGGTTTAGTTTTTTCTATAAGAAAACAAACACTTAATATCTATTTATAATTTTATCCGACGTAAAATGTACTTACTAAGGGTAAAAAAGACAAACGATATTTCGATAGAGGATTCGTGTTTTTAATATATATATATATATATATATATATATATATATATAGAAGATTAGTGTATTAGTCAATCATAAGCTGGTTCTCACGAACAAAATACTTTTGAGAAAACACTTTTTAAAATAAGTTAGATTTTAGAAGTTTGATAATCATTAAGTGGGTCCCACCCTACAATATGATATATATAGTTACTTCCCGGACATAAAGAGGGAATTGAAGGAGTGTTGGAGAAGGTAACGTTAATGTTGTGAATCATTATATCCACCAAATGGATAATGTTTAGTCAGCATTCAGCAGTTGAAATCCAATTAGGACACAGTAACTTTCTGGCATAAAGAGAGGAAGAGTGTTCGAAAAGGTATACTATATAACAACGTTAATCTTGTCCATCATTATCTAAATATAATGGATAACGTTACTAAGCATTCAATAACTTGTATACAACGGGTAAATATTACTCCCACCGTTTTAGTTTATGTAAATATTTTCTTTTTGGTCTGTTTCAAAAAAAATAATTATTTTTTAAATTTAAAAATAATTTAGCTTAAACTTCTAATATTAGCATTAATGAGAAGCTTTTATAACCACACAATTGCACTGGCCCCTTTTCTTACTTGTTTAGGACCACAAATTTTAAAAAAAATTATTTTTTCTTAAATTTTGTGCCCAATCAAACAGGTTCACATAAATTGAAACGGATGGAGTATATATTTACGCTGACACAGTCTAACACAATAAGAATCCATAATACAATATAGTACGAGCTACAAAGTAGCAAAGTAGTAGCAGTTATTACTGAAATAGTAAAGGGATGGAGATAAAATTACTAGGGACCAAGTTACTACTTGCATTATGGCTACTGATATCCGCCGTATGTGGTGGTTATTCCCACCGGCCGACGGTGGGACTGCAGTGGCCGGAACGGCAGCAGCAAAAGGAGGAAGTAGGTTCACATGAAACACGACGTAATTTGCTGTGTAATGGACTTGGCTTGTGTAACGACCCGACCGGTCGTTTTGAGTATTACAATCCTGTTTCCCCATTTACTACTCAAATTGGGCTTTACAGTTGTTGTGTGACTTGTCGGGGCAATTGGTTCGGGTCCAGTAAAGTTTTGGAATGAATTGGAACACTTAGTTCCAAGGTTTAAAGCTTAAGTTAAAATAGTGACCGGATGTCGACTTATGTGTAAATGACCTCGGAATTTAATTCTGATGATTCCAATAGCTCCGTATGTTGCTTTTGAACTTAGGAATGTGTCCGGAAAATTATTTGGAGATCCATAGTGGAATTAGGCTTGAAATGCCGAAAGTTAAACTTTTTGGAAAGTTTGACCGGGGGTTGACTTTTTGATATCGAAATCGGAATCCAGTTCTGAAAATTTTTATAGCTCCGTTATGTCGTTAATGACTTGTGTGCAAAATTTGAGGTCAATCGGACGTGAATTGATAGGTTCTGGGGTCCTCTGTAGAAACTAGAAATTTCAAAGTTCATTAGGCTTGAATTGGGATGTAATTCATCGTTTTAGCGTTGTTTGAGGTGATTTGAGAGTCCGACTAAGTTCGTACGATGTTTTAGGACTTGTTGATATATTTGGTTGAGATCCCGAGGGGTTCGGGTGAGTTTTGGATGGTTAACGGATAATGTTTTGCCTTGGTGAGATTGCTAATATCTATTGCTGCATTTTTCGGATTTTCTCTTTCGCGTTCGCGAAGAGGAATTTTAGGCAGACAGGATTTACTCTTCGCGTTCGCGAGGGGGTCTCGCATTCGCGAAGAGGAGCTGGGTTGTGCATCGCGTTCGCGTTTGGGATATCGCGTTCGCAAAGGGAAACATAGTGGGCATGGGTTTTTGCCTTCGCGTTCACGAAGAAGTCTCCGTAAAGTATCGCGTTCGCGAACAGTGTCTCGCGTTCGCGAAAAACAAATGTTGGGAAGCACATTTTGTGCTTCGCGAACGCGAGGGACCTGTCGCGTTCGCGAAGAAGAGAGGTCTGGACAGAAAGTTTAAGTTCAGAAAATGGGACTCCATTTTTAACGATTTGGGGCTCGGATTGAGGCGATATTTGGGAGATTTTCAGGAAAAACAACGGGGTAAGTGTTCTTAACTCAATATTGGTTAAATTACCCGGATCCATGGTTGTTTTTAATATTTAATAGGTGAATTAAGTTGGAAAATTGTGAAAACCCTCTTGGTTTAATTTGGAGATTTGAAGGTCGAGTTGATGTCGTATTTGAGTAAAATTTATATGGTTGGACTCGTGGTTGAATAGGTATTAATATTTTGTATCTTTCGTCGGATTCCGAGACGTGGGCCCCTCGGGTGATTTTTGGGGCGTAATTTCGAATTTTTTGGAAATATTAGTATTTTGATATGGAATTAATTCCTATAAATTTTGTGGGCTGAATCAAATTTATTGTGACTAGATTCGAGCCATTTGGAAGTTGATACATGCAGAGTGGAATTGCTGGAGCATTGCTTAGCTTGCTCGACATTGGATTTGGCTTGTTCGAGGTAAGTAACTCTTCTAATCATGGAGTTGAGGGTATTAACCTTGAATATATGTATTGTGACGCACATGCTAGGTGACGGGCGTGTGGGCGTGCACTATAAAAATTGTGACATAATTATTTTTATGGAATTTTGTAGTTAAATGATCTTGACATTTTCCATGCGATTTTATGAGTTAAAGAAATTGAGCTGAAAAGCATATTAAAAATTATGTTGAGGCTATGTGCCAGTATTATTGGAACCCACAGAGGTCATATTGTTGTGAAATATTTATTTTAAATTGAAAATTCATACTCAGCCATATTCATTTCATTGCATATCATATCTCAGTCTTTGTTATTATTTATTGATACATCATATCATCGTTTTTGAGCTATTCTCGTGACATTGTGAGCCCATGAGAGAGAGATTGGAGAGATTGATGACTGAGGGATGCCGAGGGCCTGATTGTGAGGATATTTTTGGGATCGGGCTGCACGCCGCAGTAGGCCATGTTGGCTTTATATATGTTATTACTATTATATGGATAGGGGCTGTCCGTCTGCATCAGGCCTTATTGGCTTATTATTGCACGTGAGTTGGCCGTGCAGCATGTGAGTTGGCCGTGCGGATCCTAATATTATTATTGCACGTGAGTTGGCCGTGCGGATCCTTATATTATTATTGCACGTGAGTTGGCCGTGCGGATCCTTATATTATTATTGCACGTGAGTTATTCGTACAGCACGTGAATTTTTCATGCAGCACGTGAGTTGTCCGTGCTTATAGAGCTTGGGCTGTAGGAGCCCCTCATGAGTCTGTACACACCCCCAGTGAGCGCAGTCGACTATAAACTGGGATCGGACTGCATGCCGCAGCAGGTATTGTATGGCGTTGAGTGATTGAGTGTGCTAAGCATAGTGAGAGGGTATGCGAGACAGTGAGTTTGAGTACTCTGAGAATGTGAGTACATGAGTACAATCTCTGAGATACATTGCATTGACATGCACTCATGACATATATGCATAGAGATGTGTTTTCCTCATGTTGTATGGTATTACATTATTCATGATTTCTCACACATGTTGACAGATGGGTATAGTGATGCATTTATTTTACACGGGTTATCTGGAAAGAAAATGAAACATATCATTTATTATTGAAAGGATGTTGGGGAAAATTATTGCTTTCAAACTTATTCATATTTTTTTGAAATTTTGGTAAACGATTTGGGTTTTTCACTAATGTACTTGAAAGGAAGAACTATTATTTTTGAAATCATGATTTTGCTGAGCATTTCATCTCTGGGATTACTTCTGCTATTATTTGCTTTATGTTGTTATGGATTGTTGTGGACTAGTGGTTTTGGACCCGACCTTGGTACAAGCTCGTCACTACTTTCAACCTAAGGCTAGGTTTGTTACTTACTCAGTACATGGGGTCGATTGTACTGATACTACACTTCTACAAATTACGTGCAGATGTTGGCTGCTGTTGTTGTTGTGCTCGATAGTTGCGGTATTTGAAGATGTACCTGTATTCCGGTTGTTGCTGCCTCTTGTTCATGGTAGCCTTAGATTCATGAAAACTTTGTTTATGTACTTTTCAAACAGATGATGTATTATTTCATACCGACTTTGTATACTCTATTCTTAGAAGCTCATGATTTGTACTACCAGTTCTTGGGGATTGTACAAGATTAAGACCTTTATTTAGTTAAATTGCTTTAATAATTATTATTGAAATTGGATAGTTGGTAATTGGCTTACCTAACGGGTTGGGTTAGGTGCCATCACGACTAGTTGGATTTTGGGTCGTGACAAGGTGGTATCAGAGCTCTAGGTTCATAGGTTCTACAAGTCATGAGCAAGTGTCTAGTAGAGTCTTGCGGATCGGTATGATGACGTCCATACTTATCTTCGAGAGGCTACAGGGCATTTAGGTTATATACTTCCCATCTTTCTTTCCTTATCGTGCGGGATTGATTCAGCTTGGGACATAACTCTTTGAATTCCTTCCACGTATTCGTATGCGCACATGAGCACTCGGTATTAGTTGTGCATCGCCGGCTTGTGATTCTATGAACGAGGTTCGAGGTGAGTATTTTGTGTTTCGGTGATGGGCCAGTCTGGAGGACTTGAGGCCATGGTTAGACCGTAGCTTGAGCTCGGTAGCTTCAGTTGTAACCTGTGCAATTGAACTCATATGTCTGGTAATGACCCTACAGTGGAATTTGTGGCTCGATGAGCGGTGAAATGGCTTTGTGATGAGTATAATGTAATTGTGGGATGTGTTAAGACGATTTGAATATGACAAGAAGTATTTCCTTGAAATTTAATAGAAGGCCATTGGGTGCTTGATTTTCATTTTGATGTGACGTACAGTCTCGAGTGTAAATGTTTTGAAGGATCTTTGACGATTGTTAAATTTTGGGACAAATTAAATTCTCATGTCTGGTTAGTGAGTTTGGACTCAGATAGACTAAGTGATTTCATAGTAATTGTGGCTGCGAAAGGGTATATCAAGATACCAATTTGAGGTTAAGCGGATGGGTTATTTCCTACGGAGTAATCTACGTAGGTGTATTCCTTATTATGTGAGTGGAGAGTTTCTTTTCTACCAGTGGGGCATATGTGTGGAGATTTGAATTTGAATCAAGCTGAGAAAGTTGACTTGAGTGTCAAGAAAATAATTGCGAGCTTAGGGGATGATTTGGGGTATTATTTTTATGATTGGTGTTGCATGAGTTTGAGAAGAAGTTTTGTTGAACTGACTGTGGCATTATGGTAGTAATAGAGTATTGATATTGTGAGTTATGGAATATTTTAATCTATGGCTTTGAGCAAAGTGGAGGAGCCTGCTATTGATAATTCAATTTCATGGTTGTATGTAAAGGTTTAGTTTTGGGCTGAGGCATACTGGTGGTTAGTTATGACTTGCAAAAGTTGTGATTGATGATGGCTCGAATAAGGAAATTCCTGGATATGGGTTATATTGCACTTATGAGTATATGAAAATTATGGGATGAGCGAGTTATTATTTGTGAATGTTGTAGTGCGCACGGAGTATGAATTTGATAGGTGGTATTAAAGTGGAGTTACTTCTTTGAGAGTTGTTGTGCTAATGGGGCACATGTCGTTTGGCCCATTTGGGAGGTGTAATGTGGATTTGAACAAACAAGGTGATTCTCGAGAAAGTTCTAATAGATTCGAGATTTATGTGTAACGATTGAGAATTTTTGGCGGATTTGTTTGCGGCTAAAAGCTGAGATTTAAGTTGGATGATGTCGAGACTTGTGGTATTTTTGTATATCATTATGGATTTTATATTTTGGTATCAGGAAGGTAAATGAAACAGCCTTAGACTCAAATAAGGTATTTTCAGAGTGGGTGTTTCGGTTGTGATATTTATATGGGTAATTATGATGTGGTGAGACTCTATAGATGTTTTGATGGTA